AACAATCTTTCTCCAAGCTCGCTGATCCCCAGACCAACACCGTTTCCTTTCAATCCTTCAAGGTATAATTTGATCGTTTTGATTGTCGTTTCTGGGTTTAGAAAATCTGGGTTTGGAGTTTCAGTAATCAAAGATTTTGATTTCAGTTTTGGAGTCAAAGATTTGGATTTCAGATGTGTTGGGTTCTTTGATCTTTTTGGAATTAAATTGATTTGTGATTTGCATATTAAATCTAGTAGGACAAGTATGGATTGGATCCAATAACTGATCATCATATTGCTTTGTCACCAACGGAAACTGGATCCTTGATCACCATATATTCTTTCAAGTAATGTGGTGCAGTCTTCGTTTGCTCTTGTTAAGATCTTAGCTTATTTCATGTCTTATGTAGATAACAAAATCATAGGTTTGGTGTTTCTCTTTTCGTTTCGTTTGTTATGCTTTTGGTTCTCAAGTGAAGTGGGTCGATACGACTGAGAAGATTTTCCTTACCATAGTATCAGCAGATTCTAAGGTAAAATCTCTTCTCTACTTCTGCAACTTCTCATCAAAATCGGACTTCCATTCCACATTACTTTGATTAGCTCAGTATATTTTGGTATGAGATATGTAGTTGGCTGTGAGTTTTGCAACTAAATGTTTTGATTCTTGACCCGAATATTAATATTAGTTATTTATCTGTTCAATGAGCTACATTTTGTAATAATTTCATGTCCGTATCAATCTGTAAAAAGCTTGATTTCATTCTCAATAATTGAGATTTATATGGTATTGCAGGAAGCGGTTGCAGTGGTGAAAGAGAAGATCCAGAGGAATCTTCAAAGAAACTTGTGGGAGAGGCGATACAAAGAGGAAGTGCAGACAACAAAGTTTTTTTTTTTTTTTGCTCTGAACAATTAAGCCATGATTCTTTGAAAACAACAGTAACAAACTTTGCTGATACAGGTTAGTTAAAAAATATTAATTTTAATTCTGAAGAACCTCTTAACGATGATTTTTTTGCAAAATTTAAGTGAGATCTTAGATTATTTTAATATTTAGTTTAATGTTTAAAAATTGGTAATAACGTCTTAGGGGTTCTTATCAATGGACATGCTCTAATCCTTTTCGTCTCCATACACCGTCGGGATTCTCCGTCGCTAATCTTCAGTCTCAGGTTTAAGAAAATGGGTCTCTCTTGCTAGTCTAATTTCCGAGTTTGATTTTGAAGAATTTAGACTAGCAAGTGATATTTTTGACGTTTTAGATCTGGAATCGTTCTGGGTTTGAATGTTTTATCACTTGCAATTAAATTCTTTATCCTCAATTTCGGAGTTAACTTCAAAAAATTTGAGCTTTGTGCAATCTGATCTCTCACAAA